TACCTGGCCCCCCCCCCAAACACACACCCAAAGGTAAGGAACTGGCCAGCAACAGTGGGGCCTTCCAGGGTAAGGCAAATGGTGGGCAAAGGGTCCTAAAAGCAGAGACAGGGTGTGTGTGTTTGGGGGGTGGCATGGCAGGGAGAGGAGGAGGCTCTGAGTAGGTGGGTGGAGCTTGCAGTGTTGAGACTTTTGGACAGAACCCTCAGAATAATGGAACCACGGAGAAGTTTCAAATAAGGAGAAACCAGATTACATGCTCGGGACAAGAGGTATTAGTTATGGAGCAGAGGCTGTGAAGAGCATTCAGAGCCAGCCTTGGGCCCTGAGGGAGCTGGGGAGCTGGGAGTAGGGCAACATGTCCAAGCACTAGATCCAGGTCCAGGGATTAAGGAAGTCTCCAGCAGGCCCATGGGGCCTGGATGGTTTTGGCCACAGGCTGAGGCCTCTGTGCAGGCCAGATGGAGCCTCAGCCCTTGCGGCTCTCTGTTAAGCTTTGCCCCTTATTACCCTAATGCCTCCTAATTCCTAATCAGTTTGTTTCAGTAACAAAAGTTTATTAATCAATTAGCCAATTGGTTCAGCAACCTCAGCATGAATGAACAATATATTAATAAACAGCCCAAGCTGTTTTCCTCATTGCCAGGGGGAACCAAGAACTTTGGCCTATACCTCCACAAAACTCTTCAAACGCCTTTGAAAGGAAGGATAAAGGAAAAGAACGCAGACTCAGAACTCCATCAGCATCTGGAATCTCCTAATATATGAAAAGATTATGTACGGAGGTCAGTCTTAAACATACCTTGCACCCTTATTTTTATTTATACTATTTGAGTGACAGACCCATTTCAAGACAGGATCCCAAGATGATCTTGAACTTCATCTCTTTTATCCATCTCTGGAGTGCTTGGGGTCACTGGAATTCGACACCTATGCCAGAGTTCAAACCCAGGGCCTCATGCATGCTAAGCAATCAATCTACCGACTGAGTGACACCTTCAGCCCCAAGTGCTCTATCTAATTATTGTCTTTTTCCCCCCTATTTTTTGGGGGTGGTTGTGGTGGTACTAGGATTGAATCCAAGGTCTCATCCCACTAGGCAAGCATTCTATGTCTGTATCCCAGGCTCCCAGGCCCTAGTAAACAGTGTCATCACCATCCCTCCTTTTATATGTTGGCCTGAGAGTTTTTCCAGTTTTGTTACGATGGGCATCTCACACACAGATAGATGTTGGAGGTCATCCTCACCTAGGATTCCTAAGTGGTAGATTCACTCAGCTCTTCTGCATACTTTCATCTGCATCCACAGGGACAAAGCTTGTGTCACCTGGATCTTCGGTCAAGGGAAGAGCTCGGGCACTGTCACATTCTCCATAGAGTCTCTCACTATTTGTACAGCTGTTTGCACCAGGGCCTGTCACCCTGGCCAGCACTGAGCAATCACACTGAGAACCTTAAGAGGTGGCTGGTGGGCAGGGTGATGGCTCAGTGGGTAAAAAGCATTTGCTGTGTCAGCCGGATACCAGGAACTCATGTAAAAACGATGGAGGTGGTGGTCTGCATCTGTAGTTCCAGCTCCTGCTGTAAGACAGGAGACAGAGTTGGAACATTGCTCGGAAGCTCTGTTAGCCTGGATCAGATCTTCCTGCACTAGGGGCAAGAAACAAGAGGGACCCTGCCTCAGCAAGGTGGATGGAGAGAAGGACCTCCACAAGTCGTCTCCAGTATCCGCACACACCCTATGGAAAGTGGGTCTGAATGTACACAGATAGGCTGGGCTGTGACTCATAGTTGAGCACTTGCCTAGCTCAGGATTTGATCCCTACAACAAAATAAAAAAACAAACAACTTGCCTCAAGATCTAAACACTGAGTTTGTTTTCCATCCAAGAGTACTTCCCAGAGTACTGTCCTGGAAACGGGGTTCAGAGCCCACCTCTGGGGCCCTGAAGAAGCTGAGTCCTCCTGGGAGGGAGACCTCTCTAAGGCTGACCTAGAACTCTGGAGATGCTAGGGACAAAGCCACTGGGGACAGACAGGTGGGAGGAGAGCTGGGGCCTGCTCACATGGCCTCTCTCCGGGAGTGCACTGTTCTGACCACAACGGGTGTGTGCATGCTGACTGAACACAGATGGCAGAGACCATGGGCTGCTGTTTCCCTCACTCTCAAGACTACCAAGCACACACCCTCGCCCTGTGTGGTCCTGAATGACCAGTGGTATAAACAGAGTCACCCCCCATCGTCCTTCCATCTGAAATGCACCCTGGAGGACAGCAGTTTAGACATTGGGGTAACAGTATCAAATGTTTGGTGAGACCAGGCCCCCAGCACGTCTGAACTATCCTTCAGTTACCTGTGAGGAAGAGTGAGTGCCAGTTTCTTCATGCTGTTTTGTAAATCTCTCACGAAAGAGAAACCCAGCATGTGTTTCCTGAAAGTCTCTTTAACTGTCTTTATCTTCCAGAGGACACACTGCTTGGGTATGTGGTCACCTGTGCTGAGTGACATGCGGTCCTTGGTATGGAGTCACACACTTATGGCTGTGATGGTCCACGTGGCACGTGTACATTAAACTGTACCATAGGAAAGCGTCCAAAGACAGGATTCTCACGTGGGCATTCCTTACCTGGAACACTGTGCCAGGGGCAGGGCGGGTGTGTCTGGGGTGGGAGTGGTGGTATACTGTATTTTGCATGAGAAAGCTGTAATAATACTTTTGACAGTAGTCACATTGATAGCGCAGGTCCGGTGAATTTCATCTTTAGCTGTTCACTGCATCCCTGTCAGTCACGTGGGGAAGGTGTGCAGGGCAATACTGAGACCCACAAAGCACCAGGAACCGCCAAATTCACCCTCTTGGGCATTCCATCCCTGTGACTGAGACATGGAGGAGACACCTATCCAGCTTCCTGGGTCCCAACTGCCTGGGTCTTTGGCTGCAGGCTGAGGCGTTGGTTCCCTCTCATATGGTTGGCCTGTCTCTAGGACAAGCTTCCCTTGGGCAGTGGAAGTCCCTTGTGTCTGATTTACCTTCCTGGGAGTGGGAAACCAATTAATTGTGACAAATTGCTACCAAGAAGACACTCCACAGAAGCTGTACATACATATTTTCATTTATTAGAAAGAGGTCTCTACACTATAGCCACCTCTCTCTGTTACTTTACACTTTTCCTTTCTTTTCCCCTTAGAATACTGTACACCTGACACAAAATCCCAAGGCAGGAAAATACAAACCAGTATATTTAACCCGAACAAGGTCGCATGAACGAACAAGCAAAGCGAAATGTCTGTGTATGGTTTAATTACAGGACAAACAGCATAAATAAAGCATCAGTCATCAGGAAACATAAAGTTATGGAATGAGGTAATATCATAATGCCCCAGACGGACCACTCACCTCTGGAGAAGCCCCCACTGTGCTTCTACCTTCTATGTGTCTAGGCAGGTGACATGGCTTTCTTTGCCCCCACCCAGAACTGTGTCAGCTGCACCCCTACTTTGCCCTGGGTTTTCTCTTTGCAAAGACGTGCCTATGGCAAGATGAGGATTCAGTGTGGAACTGAGGACAAGAATGAGAAGAGAGGATGCTGGGGGCTCTGTCCTCTACGGGTCCAGGCTCAGGCCATTGTAAAGGGCCAGCCACCTCCTGTGCCTTCCTGGGGCTCAACACCCTTTCAGTTCTCAGGGCTGGAGGATCAGTTCTCATCCTGAGAACTGATGTATTTTATAAGAAAGCTACCACCCCCTCAAAGAGGTAAAAACAGAAAACCCCAGTGTAGGGGGGGAAAGGGACAGTTTTTACATATAAGAGAAGGGTAATTTTTAACAGGAAGGTGCAGATGTCTTTCCTTTCTGGTCACAGAGACCATTTGAAGGTTTCTTTTGCCTGTCCATCACATAATAGCCCTGGGTACCCTCACTACCACCCTGGTAGGAACACTGCAGGACTTGGTAGGTGAGCAAAATACGCCTGCAAGAGCAGGAACTAGAAGCCACATTTGGACTGCATAGTACCCCTGGTCCCTTTTCTGCCCATCCTGATGAGCCAGGCAGGTCAGATAGCTTTGAAGTCCCTCAGCTGTGGATAGAGAGCTGTTTACAATTCTGTTTGGGGCTACATAGGTCTTTCTACTCAAAGCTCTCAGTCAGTCCATATGGCCTGCCTAGTAGTTTGCTGAGTTTGTCTTTTTGCAAGCATGTGAGAGCCCTCTCTGACATCCATACTACTATCTGGGCTAGTGTGGAAGCAGCCCTGAACCTGGACATTGGGGTGCAATGTGATTGTAGGGTGGTTGCTTCTAGCAGCAGTATGCCAAGGGGCTCTCCTCTGGGCCTAATCCCACCCCCCACCCATTCACACCTCTTGGTTCCTTCATTTCACCCGAAACAAGACAAAGGCTATGTAATTCCCTGCACACAGAATTCCAGACCAATCCTCCCTTATGGCGGGAGAGTCCATCATATGGCTTGATTCATGACCCCCAGGGGTCCCCTGCAGATGCCACATGCTCAGCAAAATGAAGACAAGCCCTGAGCTGACCCTTCTCTCACTCACCAAGGCCACTTACTTGGACCCTATAGCGGCTGCCAGTGCTGGGTGCCCACACCCACCTGAGGCTCATTATGGGAGAGGCCTCAGTTAAGAATGCTTTGACCAGTCAGAAGCAAACTCCCAAACTAAATACTGCTCTTCTATAGGAAAATTGGCCTCTTGAAGATGAGGGACAGGAGGTCACTTCTCCATGGACCTGTATTGTACACTGCCTCGGGCAGGGAGTCACCTGGCTAATGGCACATAAACACACCTGACCTGGGTCTGCAAAAACTAAGGACATAAAGCTTTGTTGGCTGACTAGACTCATCTATGATGAAAGGTTTTCTCTCTTCAACTCTGACCCAAGATGCAAAGCAATATCGAAAGAGCAGCAGAGACTACACAGAAATCTTAGCATCTGACAAAGCCCCATAAGGCCAGGACTCCTGAGCAGGGAGAGACTTGGTGTCCTGAAACACTAAGGCCCCAGATGGTCAGCGGTCTCTTTCCCCATGAGGAAAGAGATGAGCCCTGACTTTGGGCGCTGGCTGCTCTAAGCAAGGAGGCTGCAGCTTGGTTCCAGGGTGGGAATAAAATCCTGAGGACGAGGAGGGCTGTGTGGTACCAGCAGAGTAGCTGGCCCCTCCCCCTCCCCTACTCACCTCTCAAGAAGGAATATTACATTTTGGCTAAAAACCCATCTACATCAGCTGTTTTAAAGAGAAGGCCCCCAAACAGGCCAGACACAAATAGCTGGGTCACACGGCTCTCCTGGTCCCACAGTGTGCTAGCCAGGCCTGGCAGGGGTAGGGCTGTTTAGAATCCAAGAGACAGTGGAAGAGAAGGTTGCACATGGGATACCAATGGCCCTGACAGCATTCTCTTGAGTGACAAGAGGGAAATCACCTCCAGCTGTGCCTTCACAACAGAAGCAGTGGGGGATAAATTCTGTTTTTTTTTTTTTTTTTTTTTTTTTTTTTTTTTTTTTGGAAAGATGTTCATCGGTGTCACATCTCTTCAAATTCTTTCCTGACTGCTTTTCAATTTGTTTGCTTCAAAGTCATAAATACAACCCTGGCAGAGTTCTAGCAAAGACTCCGGGACCTTGTAGGGTGTGAATGAATGATGGAGACAGAAGAGCTGAGGAGAGCCCACCAGAAGGCATGGGCTTGCTTCTCAAAAACCTCAGCCTCCTGGTGGCTTGGGAGGCCCTTGTCACACTCCTCCTAGCTGTGCAGTTGTGTCCCCAGGAGGGATAGACTGCCCATCTCGGCCATAAAATAGGAAAGAATGGTGGCCACCTTGGCAACTAAGAGCACAACTTAGGCTCAGGGCCAGCAGGTCCCTGGTTCACCAGGTTCAGACACAAACTCACTGTGGATCTTGACAGAAGGAGGATGCCAGTGGCAGAACACTCTGACCAGGCTCTTCTGACCAGGCTCTTCTGGGATAACTGGGGCAGTGGAGCCCAAGGCCTGGGGTGCTATGATCCTCAAAGCTAATGGGTCAGGGTACAGACAGCCTGCATGTGTGTGTCCCGGCAGCCACAACGGGAGCTGCAGGGAGAAGGAGACTTGATGAGCCAAGAGCAGAGGTAAAAGGTTGGAGGAGAAGAGCCTCATCTTAGGCTTGAGTGACACTTGGGGATGCCGGGAGAGCAGTGCTTAGCTCTTCTCTGTAAAACAAGGCAAGAAATTTAGAGGGGCTTTCCCAGCAGTGGGGACAATAAGCAGGGCTTCACTTTCCACCCACCACTGACACTGTTCACAGACCTGAGGACAACAGGAGCTCAGCACAGGTAGCCACAGGCTAGACTGCCCCCCCCACTCCACCCCAGGACAATTGATGGACAAGTCACAGGCTGGCCCCAGCTGGCTGCTTCTCAACAAGAGAGGAAATGCACCCTGAACACAAAGTCTGCAGGGGCTTGCAGTGGCCTCCTCACACTTGTCACCTCGATCCTGGGCTGGCGGAAACGGGGTCTCCAAACTCACATGCCCCTCCCCCACTAACCGGCTTCTCTGACTTCCCCCACTTTCCTTCTTGACTTTAGTAAGTCCATGTCCCACTATCCTATTCTGACATGCTCCCTAAAAATGTGTGTCACACCAAAGGGAATGCTTAGCGTGGGAGAGCTCTCCATCAAACCTCAACGCCCTTCCGCACAACCCAGGTCCTGGTTTCACTCTTCCTTGGTGTCAGCTTGAAAATGGGAGAAAGCGGGTTGTCACTGAGGTGAGGACTTGGCTCTGAAGGTGAAATGTAAGCACAGGTTAGGCTGCTTCTCTCCTTTATCTGCATAGAAAACCCTGGAGGCCCCACTATCACCATTCCGTCTGTTGTCAAAACTCAGGCTTAGGAGGAGTGGGCTACCCCTTGGACAGTTCCAGCAAAGCTAGAAGAGGCAGGGGGGGGGGGGGGGGGGTGTATTCTGAGGAAGAATTGATGATGTCAGAGTGACCCAGGGAGGGAGGGAGGGAGGCAGAGCGAGCAACTGAGCATTCAGGCAGTGGAGGGTGATGTGAGACAAGGAGTCATTCGGGAAAATATCCTATTATTATAAACACATAGTACTATGTACACACTCATATACACCCCGAAGAGAAGCCTTGCAAAGGATCCCATTTCCTCTCTCAAGTAGGCTCCCCTAGGATAAAAGCACTCCTCTAGTGGGAATTGACCACACTGAAATAATTTAACAATTTAATCTGTGTTCTCTATAGAAGTCTATGGTAAAGGCTACGTGGAGGCGGACTCGGGTTGCAGGGCTGGGTGCTAATGCATTCTTCAAAAATAGGCCATGACAGCTTGTTTTCTCTATTCACATTTAAAGTGACGACACAGTGATGGACAGCAGGATGAACAACCCAGCGTAGGGCTTGTGGCACTGAGTGCAGCCGTCTCAGACTAACTTTCAAACCTGTGACATTTTTGGATACTGGTTGGCCCCAGCTGTGTTGCGACTGGAGATCTCCACGAGACGCTCACCCACAGATAAACGCTGTCTAAAGCTTGACTTTTGTTCCCATCTACTTTAGATTTTTTTTTTAAAAAGTGAAAGAAGAGGAAAAAACTCTTACAAAATATAAAGTTCAATATATGAGAGCAAGGAGCTTCTCCACAGGATGCCGGGTGGTGACTTTGCCCAGTGTCCTATCTTCCAGTGTGATGGCCTTCTCCCTGCCACACTGCCACGAGGGCACTCTGGCAAGGCTGCCCCTCATTTTTTTTTTAACTAAATAGTGTCACGGTTTGGTGTTCTTGACCACCGTGCTGAAGGTGACCAGTGTCTGACACACCCTGTGGCCCATGATGGCAAATCAGTCAACAGACAGGATAGATGGTATAGAGTCTATGGGCTCTCAGGAGCCAGCTGTGCCAGAACGGTTAGCAGCTGCTCACAGGGTGCCTTTGTGGGTCTGGTGTTCAGAAAATCACCTTCTTGCCACAGCCCCTTGCTTCTGGTCGGCAGGAGTGGCCTGGGCTCTCCAGCTTGCCTTTGGGATGGCGACTCCCATGCTCCTTCCCACTCTGCTTCTCTCCTTCCCCTCCCTCCATCCCTTCCTGATTTTAATAAGCAAATTGTGCCACCATCTTATTCTGATGCACCTTTTAAAAAGCTGTTTATCACATTAATGGAAGTGTTTGCTGCTGGGAGCACTTCCCATGTACAGTCATCTGTAACCCTCTGATCTCAACTAGTTGCACGTTATTAGTTCCTATCCAGCTCAATTTATAAATTAACAGAGGTGCCATTTGTCTGCACAAAAATCAATGCATATTTATGAACTTTATTCAAATAGATTTTCACACATCTTCTCTATGACAGAAACCTGGGTAACTCAGACCTTGTGGATTGGGAGTGACTGAGGCCTGACACATCCATTGTGGCCACAGGACAGAAAAATCTCTCTTAGGAAAAAAAAATAGCATTTTACATATTTACTTATTTTTGGAGCATACTTGAGAAGCTATTTTTCAGCTGGATTGATGATTTCTTTTTGAATTTCCAAGTTATTCTTATTTATTTATTTTTTTCCCCATTTTGTTTTTGCACCAAGGAAGGAGATTGCAGTCAAATAATACCCGGCAACTGGTTTCCTCTCTTTGGACTGAAAAATTAAACAGATACTAAATTATGACAGTGAATTTAGAAAGGAGGGCTCCAAGGGCTGGAGAGACATGTCTGGGATGATACGATGCTTCTCAGCGCACTGCAATCACATCGTGGCAATCACCAGAGCGTGCCGTGTAACTACCTCCTCGGCTAATATGCCTTCTTCCCGGTGATGACTAATCACGTTCTATTAAACAGCGGTAATGCTGGAGGAACTCGACTACACAAGTGTAATGAAGCCAGTATTCTCCCTGGACAGATTAGCTCCAAATGATTTGACACCGACCATCATAGGGGCTTCAGACCTGACAAACTGTGCTTGCTTCTGATTTATGCCGTCAAGCTCCCCAGAGGAGACGTGAAATCCAAGCCTCCTTTTGGTCGAGGTGAAATGTACTGATGTGCTTAACTGCCAGTTAGGGGAAGATGCCCCTTCTCCTTGCTGCCCCTCCCCCTGTGCTCCAGGTCACTGGAACAGGGGTCCCCCGTCGATCGTGTGCTATCCTCAAAGCCGCTGGGAGGTGGTCGGTCCCTCCTGCGTGGCTTTCGGAGTGTGGGAAAAAGAGTTCGGTTTTGTGGCCTCCAGTCTCCTCTTCTCCCCTCGAGGGTGTCCAGGTTTGGAGATTTCTTGTGGAGTGTGTGAGTGGCAGGTGGGTGGTAGTGACCACCAGGAAGAGGGAGGGAACTGAGGGACTCACGTGCTGTGACTTCCGGAGCAGGCGGGCGTGGGATCCCAGGTGCAGTGTTGGCTGACCTCAGATGATGCTGGGCGCCCTCCCGCTACTGTTGTTCCTGCTGTTGTTTTTTCTGGACAGGTTGGGGGTAGCCATGAGCACAAAGCGCTCATCTGGGCAGCCATACTGCAGCAGCACGTCAATGCACTCCTGACTGGAAGCCTGCCGGGCATAGGCCAGTGCTGTGTTCCCGTGGGCGTCTCGAGCCATGACGTCCACCCCGTACTGTGGAGGCAACAGAGAGCAAGTTAGTGTCCACGGGGATCTGAGGGCAGGCAATCGAGGTCACACCCTCAACTCCTTGTGGATTGAGCTGAGATGGAAACCCGAGAATGAGGGACCACAAACTGAACATTCTTCTGTTGTTTAGAACAGGCTCTGACACCACACAAACAGGTCCGAGAGGGCTTCAACTCTGTTCTTGGTTTTTTGAGCCACAGAACTTACACTGTGGAGGGAGAATCAACTTCTGCAGGCTGCCCTCTGCAGGACTGCTGTGTCCCGTGTGTGTGTGTGTGTGTGTGTGTGTGTGTGTGTGTGTGTGTGTGTGTGTTGTTGTCTACATTTGTAGTCGTGCACAAAAAAATCTCACTGGTAGCTCAGTTTCATTGCAGAAACTGTCAAGAGTTTGTTATTTCTGTGTGTTTCCCCTTCTTTAGCACTGGAGGACCAGGGCTTAGCACATGCTAAGTGAGGATATACCAGTATGCTAAACCCCCAGTCCTTTCTAACGAGTTTTCTTTGACTCAAACAGAGATAAAACCAAATAGCTTGTACTTTTTTTTCTTTTACTGAACTAGACTTTGAGTATTTTCTTACATTATCAAAACTTACTCAAAAGCCTGGCTCCTAATAGCTGTGTACCACTGAAACACGCACACCCATTTCAGTTATTCCGCCCTTGGTGGTAGCACATTTTGTTCTGAAGTAGTCACTGGCAGAGCTAGTGAGGGAGGCATGGTTTATCTTTATGGAGTCTTTCTCCGTAGCCCAGGGAAGCCCATGATCACACCAAAGATTAGCCCCGGGGTAGTACACTGAGCTGGGAGTACACAATACAGGGCTCGGGTGGGGCTCAGGGCTGTAGTCCTTGCCTACTATTCACAAGGCTGTGGTGTGGGTTCTAGCCTCAGTCTGCAAAAATAAACTCCTGGGCTGGAGAGATGGTTAAGAGTTGCTGCTCTTGTAGAGGACCTGAGCTGAGTTCCTGGCACCCATGCTAAGTGGCTTACAACTGTCAAGCTCCAGGGAATCTGATACCCATTTTTGGCCTTTATAGATACCTGAACACACCTAAAAATCAAATAGAAATAACTGCTGAAGAGATGGTTCAGCAGTCAAGAGCATCTACTGCTGTTCCAGACAGTGTGAATTTGGATCCCGGCACCCAGGCTGGATGGTTCACACCCATCAGTAACTACAGCTATAGGGAGTCTGGCACCCATTTATTTCAGGCCCTCAGAGGGCACTGGCAGATACCTACATACACATGAGTAAAAAAGGGGAATAAATCTTTAAAAAGTTAAAAAACAACAACCTATAAACACATCACAGAGGCAAACGCACACACATACTTTTAGCTCATGATAAGGGTAGGTTCACACACGCTTGTGTGACTCAGTGTATGGGGGCGGTTTCAGACACTCACAATAACATGGAACACTGCTATGGAGAGCTTTTGGCCAGTGTGAGAAGGAAATGTGTTATGCCCCTCAAATTACCATGCTCAAGCCTTAAACAGCCCCCAGTACTTTAGACTGGAACTCCATCTGCTGGAGCTGAGAAGTTCAGTGTCCTTAAGGAATCAGACACCAGGATGCATGCTCACAGAAGAGACCACATGGGGCCACAGCAAGTTCCTATCTGCTAGCTGAGGAGCAAAGCCTTTTTTCTTTTGGTTTTTCAAGACAGGGTTTCTCTGTGGCTTTGGAGGCTGTCCTGGAACTAGCTCTTGTAGACCAGGCTGGTCTCAAACTCACAGAGATCTGCCTGCCTCTGCCTCCCGAGTGCTGGGATTAAAGTGTGTGCCACCACCGCCCAGCTGCCCTTCAGATGTTTTGATGTCTGTCTTTAGCTTTCAGAGCTGTGAGAGTACAGTACAGTGTGTTTTGTAATTTTGTTACTTCATCCCAAGCAAACCAAACACAACTGTCATTTAATGACCAGTGAGGATGAAGATGAACACCGAATTACCCTGATTTAGCACCTGCATCTAACCAAATTCTCCCACTGTGTTCCAAAAAGTAGATTAAAAACATGAAAAAACTGGGGTAAGATATCTCAGCCAGTGAAATGTCTCATCTCCCAATTTAGAGGACTTGAGTTTGATCCCTTAGAACCATATTGAAAAGAAAAATCTGAGTGTGGTGGGGTAAGCTTGTAATCCCAATTGCTAGGGAGGCAGAGACAGGAGGATCCTGGGGGGGGCGGGGGCTTGCTGGCCAGCCTAGTCTACTTGGCCAGCTCCGGGCATTATGTTGTCTCAACAAGTGAACACCAACAAAACAACCTAAAGTGGGTAACACATGAAGAACAACACTTGAGGTAGAGAAATACATTAGTTTTCAGCTGTGCTGGATCCCTGTCACCGGCATGGAGGCAGAGAAGGCATGTTTGAGTGGCAGATGTCCCTGAGTGATGTTTAGGAAGTTGCCTGGGGACATGGCATTACAGCATCTCAACTCAGCCCACACAGGCAGGGCCTCTCTGCACAACCATTTTACCCAATTTCAGTTTCTTACAAAGTTCAAATTCAAATTTCAAATTTAAATGAGTAATTTTTTTTTCCTGAGTGGAAAGTCATTAAAATACAAGAAAGGCTTGGTTACAAACTCGAACCTATCAGACCTCAGTGCCTAGGGCCAGTACTTTTGTGTTATGAGAATAGAAATTCAAAGGGGACTCCTAGAAGCTATTCAAGTTATTCACGCCCCAACCCTCACCCGCAAAAAGATGACATTGAGGAACAAGTCCCATCCTCTCCCTGCAGGATGCTTGACCAAGAGGCCATCAGAAAGACACTTCCGAAACTAGTAAATGAGCATCTGTTTCATTTCTGCTCTGTGCCCAGCCTTTCCCTGCTGTTCTATACCCTCATGCAGGTAAGTCCAGATACAAACCTCAGATCCCATTAGGGTCAGCTCTCAGGCACAGTGGCCTTGCCTTCTCCGGGAAGGAGCAGTCAACAGCATAACACATTCTGACCCCGCAGGGGCCCCTCCCTCCATTGGGCAAGTGGTGGGTACCCAAGCCACCTACCCAGATTAGCAGCTGAGCCAGGACCACGTTGCCCTTGCGGCAGGCCAGGTGCAGTGCTGTGCGGCCATCTCCTTCCCCACAGGTCTCATTCACCTCATCCCGGGACCCATGTGCCAGCAGCAGGATGACGGTCCGCAGGTCTTCCTCGGCGGTGGCACGCAACAGTTGCTGGCCCAGGGAGAACTCTGTACATGGCAGTGGGGCTAGGAAGAGTTTCTGTTCATACTTGGCCCGGATCCATCGTTCCTTTTCTTCCCTACAAAAAGTCACCAGACAGGCACACTCAGGACTGGATGTTAGAACTGAGGCTGGAAGCCCTGCTCTGGCAGCCACCATGGTTAGGAGGCACAGGAAAGGAAAAGAATAGTCTCCTTTTGGGATAAAGCCCCCTTGGGGATGCTCTCTCTGTTTGTGCTTCTGGGAAGTGCTATCCTTGCTGTCTGCAGGATCCACTGATTTCAGAGTCAGAACCCAGATGCAAGCCACTGCTGGGACCCTGAAACCCCTGAGATGTAAGAACAGCCCATGGCCTGGGGGCTTGCATCAGTGCAATGCAAACATGGGCTCCATAGTTCAAAGGCTTGTGCTTTCTGTGAGCAAGGAAGGAAGGGAACCCTTCACCCCAAGCAAGATGTGCTTATATCGACCTAAAAGAAAGGCTCCAGGTGAGCTGCCCCTACGCTCTAGGGCTGGCAGCTGACTGGAGACTAGAGGTAGGACAGCAGAGGCTTCCTCTGAGGGCATTGGTGTTCTCTGCTCTTAACTCCCACACTCTCAGATGAGGACATGTGTGAGTCCCCAAGGGTCTCCTGCTGCTTTCAGCTGAAGGAAACACTGAAGATTCACACAGGAATCTGCCATTTCTTTAGAGACTTGTGAAAGGCTTAAGGGGGGGGGCAGAATGTTGATTTTCGGGGAGAAGTGTTCCAGGGCCTAGTCTCAGGGAGAAAAAGTGGGGGTGCTTCTAAGGCTGGATCAAAGCCAGGGACAGAGGGCAGGGTAAAACTGGAAGGAGGTGGGCTCTGCAGTATGGCAAGTTCTGAGGGTGTGATGGACACAACAGGGTCTTATCTGCAGTTCCCAGCACAACTCGAGTCTAGAAGGTTCAGGACCATGGCTCCCACCCCCAGGGTCCATCACCTGGGGGGCACTACAGAGATAAGGAGGGAAGAAGGCAGGAAAGAAAGTCTCCTAGGAGGCTTGTTGGGCATGGTGGCGCAAGCCTTTAATTCCAACACGCAGGAGTCAGAGGCAGGTGGATCTGTGAGTTCAAGGCTAGCCTGGTCAACATATCCGGTTCCAGGCCAGTCACAGGTACACAGAGAGAGGCTCTCAGTGAGCTGCTTTTAAGGGTGAGCTGCTCTGGGATAGTAAGGTGAGACATGGGTGCTGGTTTCTCAAAAACAAAACAAAACAAAACCACCACAACAACAGAAAGGAAGGATGAGACACTGAACTCCACAGTCCCACTGACTGGACCTGGACTCATTGCTAGGAAAAGGGGCAGTGTGTGCATGCATGTGTGTGTGTGTGTGTGTGTGTTTTAAAGAGGACCTGATATTTCATGAGTAGCCCTCAGAATTTTCCCAGCAGCCTGTGGTGTGTTCCTGAGGCCGGAGCACAGCTTTTTCATGAGGATGATGAAGAGAGCAAGCAAACCCCACACATAGAGACTAATTATCTCAGACTCAGTAAGATGCTGACTCACAATGCCTTCTAAAACCCAAAGCCTCTCGCTGCAATAATCAGAGCACACAGCTAGCAGCCTCGTGGAGGAACCAAGAGCTTTCCCCAACCCTCTAAAAGAAAACTCATTACATTTCTGCTTCCAGGGCCCAGAAGAAAGGCCTCGTTTACACCTCCGCACAGTGTTTACATTGCGCCTGGTGACCTAGTGTCAGGTTAGCCCTAATCTGTTTTTAAATACTTAGGCAAACAGATTCTTCCAGGACTAAATCTGGATTAGTTTTGCTTCACTTCCTGGTACATGTGAGTGACCCCCAAGTGACCCCTGACTCTTCATTCAGAGATTTCCAGGACAAACACTTGGCTTCAGCAGAGATGACCTGGCTCCCAGAACTGCAGCAAAGCCCTCTCGAACACATCCTTACTTAGGCAGAACAGTGGGGGACGTCCAGGAAATGCAAGACCCAAACCCCAGTGGTTCTGATTCTATTTTAGGAGCTTGTTTATAGTATGTTACACGTTTGTTGATGTAGTTCATAAATCAGGAAGGAGAAAGAGCAAGACGAGAATTAAATGAAGAGGGCTAATGGTGTAGGAGACGTCCAGACCTCCAGTTTCCAATCTGCTAACTCTCATCTTTGGGTAGGCATTAAAATCAGACTGTCTTATTCTGCTCCAGTTGATTTTAAAAGTCATTGCCAGATCATCCAGGGGTAACAGGGGAACTTCACATCAGAACTCCGGTCTTAACTGCAATGATTAAAATTTCATTTTAATATTCAAATACCCAGTCAAAGACTGAGCAGAGATCCCTGCCTCCACCAAGGACAAGCCCTAGACCAGCTCTTGGTGTGGCTTTTAGCATCAGATGGAAACAGCTCTTTACTGAATCTTCATACTTCTAAAACACAGAAGCCTGCAATGCCTACTGTTGGGTCCCCTGGCCTTCGCGCTCACCAGAAATCTAGGTGAGGCTGTACCAGATCTGACTCTCTCTCTCTCTGTCTCTCTCTCTGTCTCTCTCTCTCTCTCTTTCCTGAAATCCATTTAGTATGGAAACAGGGATTGGCTCAGGGCAATGGAGGGTTATGGGTGCGAATTCAGTTGCTCCCATCAACTCCCAAGTTCTCCCTGTTGTTCAAAATCTGTCTTCTCTGGCCTCTGCCTACCCTAACTAGTACACCCCAACATGGGCTTGGTGAGCTTTCCCAGTGGCTGCAGGGAGGGTAAAGGAATCCCATCCATGCTGGGCTATGAGGCTGCGTTCTCCCCTTAACAGAGATCTTAGGGTCTCAGCACCTGCTCTTCTCACCTTCCCCTCCTTGGACTCTGTCATCTGTAAAACTGGCCTGGTGACACTTATTGAAATAAGGGCTGTCCAGACCTAAGATCACATATGTGGTCTACGCACTGGCCACAGCCACCCTTTTGTAGCAGCAAACTGGAGAAAACCTCTCTCTACCCACTCAGGCTCAGTTACGGTCAGGCACATAGCATGCACCAGTGTGGCGTCATATGATGGGTAAGCGAAGATGCCTGTGGTGTGTTAGGGGTTTCTAGTCTACAGCTGCCTGTCACTGAGAGAGCCCCAGAACTCACCATGTGGAGCATGGGGAGGAGAGCAGCTCTTGTCTAGGGGCTTTGTGAGTCCCTTGAGGGTGTGGAGACCCTGAACACCCAGGGCAAAGGGTCTTGGCTAGTTCAAACGATCCCATAGTAGTCAGTGTTGTAGGGACTAAGTATGGAGTGTGTGCATGCACTGGCTTGAGGGGCCCAAGTCTCCTTCTTGTCATGGGCCAAACTGGGTTTGACTCTAAGTTCACATGCTGAAGTTTTAGCCACCAGTGTGGCTTCATTGGGAACAAGGTCTTTAAGGTACTCCTTAAAGATAATGTTAAATGGGGCCCTAGAGGTGGATGGATCCCCAACCCACTGCAGCTGGGGTTCATGCACAGCAGAAGGGACACGCGAGCCAGGAAGGGAGGCCTCCCAAGACAACAACCCTACCCACCATGCACCTTGATCTTGCACCATGCACTTCCAGTCCCTGAAGCCTGCATGTGATGTTTTGCCATGGTGGCTTACCCATCCTTCTCCGCAGCTCTCACTAGTGAGAGAGGGCACTCTGACAATAGTTTCTGTTCCATTCTGTCAACATCGCCACCCTTAGGAGACCACAGTGCCAAGGCACAGCGACTGCAGTTGTCATTCTCAGGTCCCCTGGCCATGTGCTTCATTGTCCCCAAGGAAGGCCAGTTCAAGAGCAGCGGAGCTGGCGGTAGATCACCTCGCCTCATTCCAATGCCCTGGAGGACCACTGCTCGCAGCCTCTGTTAGCTAATGAGCTAAAAAATGAATTATTGGCGCGGCTGCCATCAGCAGGGAGGAGGGGCCAGCTCCTCATCAGGTCTTGGTGCTGACACACCTTTAAATAAATCAACGGCAGAGAGGGAGGGAGGGAGGGAGGGAGGGGGCAGTTATCTGTCAGAAGACAGACATCGACCCCATCCCTAAAAACACAAAGAACATATGTTTCGGGAGATGCCCTCTCCTCCTTGAAATGGAACCTGTTGGGAGTGGCCTCTGCTTCCCTCTGGATATGACTGTGAACTGCCTGGTGTTCAACCCACAGGCTAGCAGTGACCAAACAAACCAAAGAGAATGGGTAGGACTGGGTGGCAGAGCTGGAAGCCCTATGATTATCTCAGTGTCTGCTGGCCTCAGCCCAGGATGCTCTGACACTAAAGCATGACGGATGGACACAGCTACTCCTGATCTTAAGGAGTGGTGACCTGGCTAAATGCCCAAGTGCCACCACAGAAACAGCTGCCTAGTGTCCTAGCTAGTTTTATGACAACTTGACTCAAGCTAGAGTCATGGGAGAGGGAGCCTCATGAAAACATGTCTATGTAAGATGGGCTGTAGTGTATTTTCTTAACCAGTGATTGACACAGGGGGGGAAGTAGGGGCTCAGCATATTGTGGGTGGAGCCACTCCTGGGCTGGTGGTTAGGGTCTATAAGAAAGGAGGTTGAGCAAGCCATGTGAGCAAGCCTGTAAGTAGCATCCTTCCATGCCCTCTGCATCAACTCCAGCCTCCAGGTTCCTGCCCTCCTGGCTTCTTTCAATGATGGACTACAATGTGGAATAAGCCAAATAAGCCCTTTCCTCCCCAAGCTGCTTTGGCCATGGTGTTTCATCATAGCAATAGTAACCTTGACTAATACATCTGGGTCTCACTTGAGGTCTGTCAGAACTGGCAGCTGTTTACATGGAACGACAAGGGATTCCCCAAGCTAAGAGGGGAGGGGTGGGGGAGATATTATGACTGACTTCATGGACCACAGCCTCCTGTGAGTAGAAATCAGAGGTCATGTAGACGTAGGTCCACTGACCCTGTGGCACCAGAATTGAGGTGAAATCCATCAGATCTCAGGATCTCAGTCACTGCCTTGTGTGGGGGAAGTCACACCATGTAGAGCACTTTACCACTTCTGTGGAGACCCGGGCCAGGGGCTCCTCATTGTGTGCAGGCTGCACTGTGCTCCATGCTGGACCCTTGGAGTCTAGT